AAGTGCCCTCTCCTGAAAGACAAGGTTTCCAGCAGAGGCGTGCTCCTTCCTGTCATGGAGAAGGCAGCCCTCAGGACTTTGGTTCTGGCACAAATGAGGCAAGAAGTGCTTGGGAGTGAGAAAGCAGCAGCAGCTAGTGGAAAACACCAATTTGATTGAAGTTCTTATTTATTAGGAGGGGGAAAACATGTTTTTTTTTTTAAGCAAGGAAATGTTCAGAGGAGAATGTAACTTCCTTACCTGGACCACTGCCACTTTTCAATAAATTCTGTGTGAGGAGGACACGGGGTCTAAACAGATGTTTTGCTTAGTTTTGGTTCAAGTTAGGAGACACTTGAATCCAGTTTGAACGCTGCTGAGCATAAGCTGAGGAAGCCGGGCGAGCGTGCTTGAGGGCAGAGTTCAAAGGACTCTGGGAGAAGGAGTTTCAGGCTCTGCTGCCAAGCCTCCACTTACCCCCAGAACTTACAAGCCTGAAGGAAGCGAAAATACTACTACTGCTACTGCCTCCCTAGTTGCCCCCATGCTATTTTCACCTTCTCCCTGGCTGCCTCATAGGCATCTCGAAATGAAGATGGTTCATCATAATTAGATACGCCCCTCAGTTTTTGCTATTTCAGGAAATGTTCCCACCATTCACCCATGTGCTCAAGTCATAAACCTGGGTCATTCTTTCTCCTCTTTCCCTCATACCCCATCCATCACGGGTGAGGTACCCAATCCATCAGCAAGACCTCTCCACCTCCCTCAGATCTGATCACTTCCCAATCCAGGTACCATGTTTTCTCTGCAAGTTTCCTAACGGTCTCCTGTTTCTACACTGCCTTCCTACCGTGTCCTCTACACATTAGCCAAGTGGTCTTATCAGGTCCTAAACCAGACTTTTCGACTCCCCTGCTCAGAATTTTCATGGGTCTCTCCACTCAGTATCATACCCTTGAGGGTCTCATGATCTGGCCTTGTCTCCTACCTCCTTTTTTACTGCTTTCCTTCTCCTTGCTGTCCTCCAGCCCACTGATTTTCTTACTGTTCCTCACACAAGCCACACTCACGTCAGAATATTTGCATGTGCTGTTCCCTCTCTCAGAATGCACTTTCTTCAGATCTTCTCATGGTTTGCTCCCTCCCTCATTTCCTCCAGGTCTAAGAAGCCTCCTTGAGCACCCTCCGCCCCAACACATCCCTCTCTTATTCCTTACCCTGCTTTATTATATTTTTATGGTACTCAGCACTTTCTGAAGTTACATTATTTTTCTGTCCTCTTCTTTATTGTCTATCTCCCCCACAAAATTATCAGCCCTATGAAAGCAGTGAATATGTCCTCCCCATGACTTGAACAGTGTCTGGACAGAGTAGGTGACCCATAAAAATGTGTTTAGCAAATGAGTTTGAGACATGGAATTGAGGAATTGTGCAACCTGAGTATGAGACGACTGACCATATGGATATTGACATTCCTAAGGTTGTTGGGAGGAAATGAATGGAGAGAAAGAGAAACAGTTGGTGGCAGAGCCCTTACTGGAAGTGGCAGAATGATTGGGAGGTCTGGAGCCAGGCCAGGTGGCTCTAAAAGTGGGGCTGTAAGGTGGGAAGCCCCAACTTATTAGGGAATCTGCCTCTTGGGTGGGAGGGGGGTGAGGAGGGCAGGCCAATCTTTAGACCAACACTGAATAATAGAACTTTTTGCAATTGTGGAAATATTATATATCTGCACTGTTGAATACAGTGGCCACCAGACACATGTGGCTATTGAGCACATAACTATGGCTAGTGTAACTGAAGAACTGAATATTAGTAATTTTATTTCATTTTAATTAACTTAAACAGCCATATGTGGCTAATGTCTACTTTATTGATAATGGCTACTTTATTGAATGGCATAGCTTTAGACGGCCCATCGAATGATTCCATCTGGGCAGAGCTGGTAGAGAATGAAAGAAGGATTTCATAGGAAGATGTCTCAAAGAACATTTCCCTTCCCTCTTATAGAGTTTAGCCAGGAGATACGTTTGTTTCTCTAAAACGAAAACAAAAACAGGGCCGACTGAGTGGCTCAGTTGGTTAAGAGTTAGCTTAAGAGTGCAAGCTCTGAGCAACAGGGTCACCGGTTCGACTCCCACATGGGCCACTGATGCTGCGCCCGAGGTGAGCTGCTGCTGAGCTGCCAACAGATGGCAGGATGGCTCAGCTGGTGAGAGCACATGCTCCTAACAACAAGGTTGCCTGTTCGAGATGGTGGGCTACCCCCGCCCACAACTAAGACTGAACTCGGCACCTTGAGCTGAGCTGCCACCTGGATGGCTCAGTGGATAGAGCGTGCGCTCTTAACAACAAGGCTACTGGTTCTACTCCCACATGGGATGGTGGCTATGCCCACCCACAACTAAGGTTGTAACACTACCTTGAGCTTAGAGGCCATGAGCTGCCGACAGGCAGCCAGATGGTGACTGGCACCCTTTACAACTAAGAGTGAAGAACAACAACTTGGCTGGTCCCCCTCCCCAATTCCCCAACTCTGTTCCCCTCCCCCAATTAGAAAAAAAATCCCAAACCAATCAACCAACCAAACAAAAAAGGAATGAAATATAAGAACGCTGAGTAATATTGGGGTATATATAAATGACCAACAAACACTCAAAACAAAATCTCTTCATTTACTTCCAAAATCTTAAATATCCTACACATAGCAATAATTAACACTGACTTCTTAAAAGTTGTTTATTTCCTTCTGTCAAGAATTAAATCTCACAAATGTCCAAATGATCTGCCCTTCCTTCCTTCCTTCCTTCCTTCCTTCCTTCCTTCCTTCCTTCCTTCCTTCCTTCCTTCCTTCTCTTTCTTTCCTTCTTCTTCTTCTCCTTCTTCTTCTTCTCTTCCTCCTCCTCCTCCTCCTCCTCCTCCTTCTTCTTCTCTCTCCTTTTCCTCTTCCTTTCTCTTTCTCCCTCTCTTCTTTTCTTTCTCTTCTTTCTCCTCCCTTTTTTTCTCCCCTCTTTTTTCTTGTTTACTAATAATTCTGTCAGTAGAATATTCCTTTAGAATATATAGATGATGTAGTATAGAAATGTACACTTGAAACCTATATAATTTTACTAACCAATGTCACCCTAATAAATTTAATAAAAAGAGAATATTGCACTAGAATATTTTGGGTTTTACTACTTTAGGATTATGTATGATTGTAGTAGGAAAAAAAGGGGGAAAAAAGGGGGAAAAATGATCTAGAAAGAGTGAGTGTAAATGAGAGGGAAGAGAGAATTACTTCCTGTCATCTGGGTTAGGGGAAAGAGAGTGAACCGGGGTCCTCCAGCTCCAGCTTCCACATGGGTGGCTGGAGTAACTCTGTCCCCAATCTCGCTTTGATTCTTGCTGGCAGTGACACACACAGACAGAAAGTAAAGGGATGGAAAAAAATATTTCATGAAAATGGAAATGAAAAAAACCAATAAACAAAAAGCTAGGACAGCAATACTTATACCAGAAAAAATAGACTTTATAACAAAGGCTTTATAAGAAGAGATAATGAAGGACCCAGTAATCCCACTTCAGGGTATTTATCCAAAGAAAACCAAAATGCTACTTCAAGGGGACATGTGCCTCCATATGTGCATTGCAGCATTGTTTACAATGGCCACGATATGGAGGCAGCCTGGGTGTCCATCGATGGATAGAGAGGAGGTGATACAGATATACAATGGAATACTGTTTGGCCATGGAAGGGAATGGGCTCTTGCCATCTGTGGTGACATGGATAGACCTGGAGGGTATTATGCTGAGTGGAGCATATCAGGCAGAGAAAGATAGGTGTAATGTGATTTCAGTTATGTGGAATCTAAGAACAAAATTAACAAACAAAACAGAAACAAACTCATAGATACAGAAAACATTTTGATGGTTTCCAAATGGGAGGTTGGTTAGTGGTGTGGGTGAAAGAAGGGGAAGGGATTAAGAAGTACAAATTCATTGTTACAAATTTTGGGGATGTAGGGTATAGCATAAGGGATATAGTCAATAACATTGTAATAACTATGTATGGTACAGACGGGTACTAGATTTGTTGGGGTAACAGATGGGAGGGAGTTCGAGGCAGGGTGAAAAAGGTGAAGGGATTAAGGAGTACAAATTGGTAGTTACAAAATAGTCATGTGGATATAAAGTAAAGCATAGGAAATGTAGTCATTAAAATGGTAATAACTATGTTTAGAGCTAGGTGGGTACTAGACTAGTCAGGAGGATCACTTCTTAAATTATATAAATGTCTAACCACTATGCTGTACATCTGAAATTAGTATAAAATAATATTGAATGTCAAGTGCAATTGATAAATTTAAAAAGGGGGGGAAAAGAGAAGGGGAATAAGAGGCTCAAATTTCCAGGTATAAAACAAATAAGTCATTGGGATGTAATGTACAGCATAGGGAATATAGCCAATAATATTGTGATAGCATGGTACAGTGTCAGATGGTTGCTGAACTTATCATGGCGATCACTTCTTTAGGTATATAAATGTTGAATAACTATGGTGTACCCTGGAAACTAATATAATATTGTATGTTAGCTATATTTTTAATAAAAATCTTAAAAAGAAAAAAAAAGACCAACTTCCCAATTTTTAATCCTCCACCATTCAACCCAACTATTGTCATCCAATCATAAGTCTTGACAATTTTGAGCTTGTCAAGGTACTGGGTTGTTGGAAAAGTCATGACACATTTTTGCAACGAAAAACAGAAAAAAGACATCATGACTTTTCCGACAACCCAATAGCATGGTGTCCTGTCCGGGAGGTATTTACTTTAGGAAGGCTCTGGAAGGACCTGTTCCTCAAGTCTGCCTGCCTGTGAGGGTCTGGCAGGGGTGAGGGGGTGGGGAGGTGTCTGTGCCCTTCAGCCTGACAGAGAAAAGGTGCTTAACCAGTAGTTCTTACAAGAAGTAATCTCCCCAGATAATCTCACTAAGTGCCTTGGTGAGCTGACAAAAAAAAGTCTTGCTTGTCTTTGCAGTCACCTATATAAGAAGAACCTCGACATGACCAAAATCCGGAAAGGAAAACCTCAGCCGCTCCTCAGACTGGAGGACCATGATTTCACCATGAGGCCCGCCTTTGGAGGTAGGACTGTGTCCTCCCCTTGGCCTGGTGAGGCCTTGTCTCCAAGGCTGCCTGCTACTGCTCGGTCTGGTTTTCTCAGACACACAGGGGCTCTAAATATCCCACTCACAGTCAGATAAGCCCAACAAGGCTTCCAGAGCCACTAATTTTCCCAAGGATAAAAGAGATGAAAGGAAGTGAGTGGAGAGGTCTGTTGACTGAAGAGGAACTGCTGGTGACTACATTGTTCACATTTAGAAAGGACAGGCCCTGTCACTGCCAACTTTTCTTTCCTAAAAACATAAGAGTTGACCAGGAGAGTCTGGACACAAAATGGATCCCCACACTCGGCCATCCCATGCCTACCTGGGGATTTTGGGTTTTGAGGGGGCCGCAAGATTTTCAATGCAGCAACAACAATTTAACAAAAGCCCCCCTATCAGACTTGTTCCTAAAGGAGCTCCCTGCTTTTGGGGTTAGGTAGGGGTGGTGTGGCCAGTGGTTGTCCCTTCCAGGAGAGCCATAGGAGAGCTGGAAAAAAAGCGAGCCACCTGTACTGTCCGACCAGGGAGTTGGGTGATAGCAACAACATGCGTGAGATGTGGGGCCAATGCCCCCCTTGTGCACATGGTGGAAATTGAGGCCCAGAGCATTTCAGCCGATGGGCCCGGGCCAGGCAGGTTGGCTTCCATTTCCCTTTATCTCCTCTCTTGATCTTGTCTTAGGTCCCAGTGTTCTCCGGGGCTGGCAGGAAGGAGTAGAGGTGACCCAAGGCCAAGTCAGTGGCTCTCTCAGAGCCTCAGTTTGCTGGTTTGTAAAATGCGGGTAGTAACCCCTACATCTGGGGTTGTTGTCAGCACTAAATGAGATAATGCATGTAAAGCCCCTGGCCCATACCTGTTCACGTTCATGTCCCTTTAGAAAAGCCCAGCTGTCAGGCCTTCCTCTTCTGTGTCTGTTAAGGGATTAAGACATTAAATGATCCCAGAAGCCTCTGCATTTTAAAAGGCCTCAATGCCTCCCACCCAATTTCCTGAGCAGCAGGAGAAGAGCAGGCAGCAGATTACAGCCCATGGCTCTTCTGCCTGCCCGGGAACTTTGCGCCCCACTGCTGGTTCAGGTCCAGAGGCCGCCGTCTCTCTGGGAGTCCTGGTTCTGTGGAGGCTCGCCATGAGGACTACTGCCAAGGAATTTTATAAAAATAAACTTTTCCTTAATCAGCAATTGTAAAATAGCTGTATCTGCTCCAGGAGGTCCAAGCCAGACATCCCTGTATGCAGGAAGCTCACCTTGTCTTTCTTGTAGTGTCAGTTAAGATACCGAGGGTCAGCGAAGCAGCTGGAACAAAAATAAACAACAGTGTTCATGACAGCTAACACTTTTATAAATTGAGGCACAGAGAGGTGAAGTGATGGACTCAGGTCTCACTGCTGCTGAGGTTAGACCTTCCCTCCAAGCTGAGTCTCTTTCTTGTCCCCTCTAGCAGTATGTACCTCAATGCAGGGTTAACATATCCATTAGGCAGAATAGGCATAGCATCTAGGGCTCACAAACAATACTTTTAGGGGTCCTTGAAAATATTTCAATTGATTTTAAAATCAGAAGGAATAAAATAAAATTTTGGGTAGAAGAAAATATTTTTAATATATAATGTTAATATATTCATGTTTACGCCATTACAGCTGTAAAATATGCTTTTTAATACTTTTTATAGAGGAAGGGTCCCATGAAAACAAAAATGCCTCGGGACCTCAAAAGTCATAACATGGCCCTGACTCAGTGCACAGTTCTGTGGGGCGGGCCTGTGTGTCAGGGTATGGGTGATATTCTGAAAGCCACGTTGTAACTTTCTGCCAGAGGCTGTTGTTGCTGGCAGGAGCCTGAGCGATCGCCTGGTCAGTACCCTCAGTTTACAGAAGAAGAGCCTGGAGTCTGGGGCTTAAGTGCTGGCCACAGAACAGGTGGCGACAGAACCCGGGTTTCTTCTAGGATGTCAGCTATAAAACTGAAAGCCTCAGGGGCCGGCCGAGTGGCTCAGTTGGTTAAGAGCTTGCTCAAGAGTTTGAGCTCTGGGCAACAGCGGTTCGATGCCCGGCCCGAGCTGAGCAGCCGCTGGGCTGCCAACAGGTAGCAGGATGGCTCAGCTAAAAAAACAAACAAACAAAACAAAACAAAAAACTGAAAGCCTCATAAAAACAGCCTCTCCTCTGGGAGAAAGCCAGGAGCTCATTCTCAGGAATGGCAGGTGAAGTCCTCCCATGTTCCCAGAAAACCCTGCTCTGAGCAGAATCATCCAACAGGCTCCAATTCCAAGCCACGTTTGAGAAACAGATTGTATTTTCTGTGCCTTGATCCCTGCAACTGCTGGGCCCATTGGCGGGTCCCCAAGAGTGCAGAGGGTCAGAATAGTCCCCTGCCCTGCTTGAGTAAGCTTCTGAGTCTGGGGACAGCCCTGACTTTGGGAGAAGCTGCAGGAGAAGAAGTTGTCACCTCCAGCACATGCTCATGATAAGACCCGAGGCTCTTCCACATCAGCTGTCAAGATCTCAGTCACCAAAGCACAGAGTGGCAGCCATTCCTCCTTCCTTCCAACACCCTCCCCCAGGACAGTTGGTCCTCTGGGCACCTTTTATCCTCGGATTTCCAGAGGTCACATCCAAAAGAGGGGAAGGGGAACACATAATATGCTATAGCACCATACCCCCACAAACTCATAAACAAGGTTTGCGACACCCAGAGTCCTAGCCACGAAGGTGGAACGGGGCCATCAGAGGAGGGGCTTCCCACCACCTGTGGTTCCAATGATTGTTATAATCTGTAACCCCTGGGAACATCTGGAGATGGCTTAGAGCCAAGAAGCCTGCCCTGTGGGTGCTCCTGGGTCGCCATTCCATCCAGCACCTCATTCCTAGGCATGGACCACTGGCCAGGGGCAGGTGGGTCTCTGAGAAAGGAGGTGGCTCTGTGCAGGTAGAAGAAGGTGCTCCTTCCTTGGGGGCAGCCCTGTCTCAGACCCCACCCCGGCCCCTGCCCCCGTAAAAAGCACAGCCTGAGCCCAACGTGCCCTGATGCCCTGATGCTGGCTCAGCCTAACACTTCCCACCCCTTAGCACCCAAGCACACCAAGTAGGTCATTTGAACAAAGATGTCCCTCAGTAGCTGCAGGATATGTTTTCTTTTTCCTGCCCTCTCTTCCCTTTTTATTTCTCTCAGAGGGGCATCCTTGTGAATTGACCTTTAAAAGTAATTGATAGAGAGGAATTTGTCTAAGGCTATATACCCCTTGGATGACCTTTACGATGTAGAAGGAGAAAAGATTAAAAATCTATCAGCTTCCTAATAATCCCAGGGATCAGTTGAAACAAAAATACCTTGTCTGAGCTCCCAGATGCCTGCTTCGGTGCTATGTCCCGGTTAGTGGGAACTCCAGAGGCCCTGGGCTTCTTTCCATTTGTTAGAAGAAATATTGCAATGCTGATTTTTAAAAACTAAAATTTAATTTTAAAAAAAGTGTGGCAAAATATATATAAAACATAACATGTACAATTGTAATCATTTTTAAGTGTACAATTCAGTGGCATTAAGTACATTCACATTGTTGTGCAACCATCACCACCATCCATCTTCAAAACTTTTTCATCCTCCTAAACTGAGACTCTGTACCCGTTAAACAACAGCTCCCCATGCCCTTCTTTCCCCGGCCCCTGGAACACCTGAGTATCTGACCTGGGGGAGACAATTCACTGAGGTAAAGTACCCAGAAAAGCAATTGGAAAAAGAGATCATAACAGTTGGGGAACAGGTGGCCCACTCAAAGGGGCATGTGTAGAGAGTGTAATGGTCTGCTTACAAAGGTGTGGGCAGGGTTCAGGAAAACCTACAAGCTATGGTGAACCCCCGGGGTCCGGAAGAGTGCAGAGCCATTACCAGGTGGAGGCCTGAGTTGTGGAGAGGAGGAAGGAGCATCTTTTCCAGATTTTACCTGAATCTAGAAAAGAGCTAAAGCTCTGGAAAAGAGCCATTCGGCAGGAAAGCCTGGGAGAGGGCTTCCGTCAGTAGCCCTGCAGGGCGTGATCTGAGAGATAATTCCTCTCACTTTCCTCTTGCCTTCTGATATCTATGGGCACCTTCACTGGCTGAACCCAACAAGAAGGCAGAGGGCAGGGCCTGTTGCTGTTAGTGGCAGCCTTAGGCCCAGGCAAGGGAACTAGCCATGGTCTGTGGGGCCAAGAGGACATATCCACCTGAGGTCTCCCTTCTAGGCCACACCTGGATACAGGGACCCAGAGTCACCTGTCCACACAGCCCTGAGCTACTTCCAGGACCTGCACAGGCTCTTTCTCCAAGGGGACTGCTTCATGCGTTTGCGCGTGCCTGGTCCTGAGAGGTGGCTGAGGGGTGGCTGTCAGAGGGGGTTGGATGGAGCCTGCCTGAAATTACACTCATGACTTAAGATCCTTCTCTTAAAGCAGAAAAACGCACAGCTATGTTAAAGAGCCAAAGCATACATCCCTCATTAGCTTAACTGTTTTCTTTCTAACACCTATAGAACTCAGTCCCATTCAAAACATAAAGTTATTCATGGAAGGAGGAAAAAAATCCAGTAATTTGGAAGAATTCCTCCCAAAACCAGTTTGGAAAGGGCCATAAAATGGAGCATTTAGGAGAGCCTGGCAGACTTAGCCTTTTGACTGTGGGGTAGGTCAAAGGCGAAGGTCAACTCCATTCTGCTCAGACCAAGGAGGGCAGGGCCTTTGGTTCTGCCCAAGCTTGAGGTGTGATTCCCCAGAATGTCATTCTGGAGCCTCCTGAACACACAGATTGTTTACCGCCAACAACCCAGGTTCCCTGAGAACGTGACCTGCACTCCCACGTGGCCATACCTTCAGAGCATTGACACCATCCTCACGGGCTTTATCAAATTTCTCTTAGAAGGGTGGCTGGAGCTAGAACAGAGAGACACAGTAACAGGTAGCAAGCAAGCTGATATGTTTTATCTAGAAAATGTCCTTCGCCAAAACCAGGTGCTAGTCAAACACTGTGCGCATTATCTGAAAACCAGGCCACGGGAAAGTGGGTCCAAAGAGGGTCAAGCCTGTATTGTTTCTTCCCTTTGGCTCCTAGAACACTGGATGCTGCAGGTCACATGGAGAGTGAGTCTAGTACAGCATATCTTCCATGACAAGCGGCACTACCAGGGGTTAAAAGCTTGGACTCTGGGCCGTTTTAATATCTCAGACTAACAAAGGGTCCAGAGCATGAGGAAATTAACCAGCCCCACTTCCCCGATGGCAGTGTTGGGAGCACACAGCCCTGTGCAGGGGTGCAGGGGTCTGGGTACCTGGAGAGGGGCCTGGCCAGGCTGTTGGCAGACCCTCCCTCATGTAGCAAGGCCCTCAGGAGAGACAGGCAGACCAGCCAGGTCTCAGGAGGCGTCTTCCTCTCCACATGGAACATTCCACTTCTGGCACCTTCAAAGCACCCCTGGAGCCTGAAATAGGAAGAGAATATGGCTGTTGGAACAGAGATTTCTCATGGGTCCTGACCTAAGCCATCAGTTGAGGAACACAGCAAAATAAAAAGATCAGCTTACACCCTAATTTTTCTGAGAGGGAAAAAGTAAAAACAAAAAGATAAAGCACTGTACTCATTTGCTTTCATTTTTAAGAACACGGAAAATATCCACTAAATGCCACTAGTAATAAATAAAATGCTTCCATTCTATTGGGATCAGCCAAAAAAAGCAAATCTTTAATGGTAGGATTGCAAGTATTAGCAAGCTTATGGGGGAGGTTGGGAGGGAGTCAGTGAACCCATCCAATGCCACCTCCATGAGGACTCCCTTCTCCTGCATTTGAGCTGTAACAGGGTTGAGCTTTCTAGTTCTTATTTCACGTCAGCATCTCTGATCTTCCTCTCTGCCGAGGGCCAAAGTCTTGGTGTCTTCCAGGCCATCTCACTCCCTAAGACCCAGACTCCTTTTGCCACACTAAGGTTCTCCCCATCTCAGACCACTCCTGGTCAGGATTATGGGGCCCTGCACTCCCAGGCCTGGGCTCAGAGGACCCAGGGCAGCAGGGCTGGCCTCTGGATAATGCCTTCTCCCCAGGATGCCCAGCCCAGCTGCCTCCTGTCACTCAGAGACATTTTTTGCCTGTGAGTGTAATAGCATTCATTAACATGTATGTCAGACACAGGTTTTTGCTTTTCCCCATTCTAGGTTTTTAAAAAAATATTAAAATCTAAAAACTCCCCATTTTATGGAAACATAACATACATACAAAAAAGTACACAAATTGTAAGTGTATAGTCCACTAAGTTATCACAAAGTGAACCTACCAATGTAACTATCACCCAGACCAAGAAATAGAACAGGAACCCACAGATAAACACGGTTTTAGAGATCTTGACACAGACCAAATGAAACTGAGTGCAGAGCTTTTGTGCTATGTATTCTCGTACTTCTCATCTGACCTGTCCTGAAAGGATTCAAAATCTCCTACAGTGTCATCTTTTGCTGCGCTCTAACAGGCACAGAGAAGATCTTGTCTCACAACAGACTTCTAGAGGGCAGGACCTCAATAATCTGTTAGGTTCTCTGTACATAGATTTTGAACGACTCAAATGAATCCAGCCCTGGGCATGCAGATGTCCCAAGCCTGCATCAGAGGCCCTTGATCCTCATTCTTAGCCCTCATTCTGTCCTTTTTAGATGTCACAGGACAAATGACCAGGGTCTCCACTCAAGCATTAGAGCAACATTAGTACCTCTATCCTACAGAGATAGCACTGGGATTATAAATAGTAATCCAGTTCTTCAACTCAGGCAATAGTCATGGATTAAACATTCACATCAGGAAGTAGCAAGAAAACCTTCCTTGCATTTGAACCACTGCCTCACTCCTGTTTCAGCCTGTCTCCCAGCCCGATGGTGAAGAAGAATGTACCTTAACCAACTATCTTTGCTCTTCTGCAGGCCCTGCCATTCCAGTGGGTGTGGATGTGCAGGTGGAGAGCCTGGACAGCATCTCGGAAGTGGACATGGTACATAGAGCCTCTGGTGGGGCAGCCTACAGTGTGGGGTCTCCAGGCTAAGTTCTATGAGAGCCTGTGGCTGGCGGGGCTGCACTGGTGCATGCTGTGCCTGGGTGGCTGGAGCCAGAGCTGGAGGGAGTAAAACTGGGCCTTGGAAGCTGGTCCAGGTGCAATAAAATCTAGAGCAGGGGTTCTCAAGCTTTAAGGGTGAAAATAACTTGGGGAGTTGGTTCAATGCAGATCCCTGGGCCCTGCCCTAGACTTTCTGATTCAGTCTCTGGGAGTGAGGCCCAGCACACTACACTTTGGACACACTCCTCAAGTGATTCGTGTGGTCAGATGAACCACACTTGGAGGAGAAAAGTAGGTGGGCGTTTTCAGATTGAATTCTGCAGTTCTTTGATCTCCAATGCCCGCACTGAGCATAGCTGCCCTACACGTTCCTTGGCAGTGCCCAGCAAGATCAGGTGGTGAGGCAAGGCTCTTTGAAGAAGGCTCATTTTAGCTGAGACCTGAAGGATCAGAAGGAGACAGCCAGGGGAAGGGCCAGAGCAAGAGCATGGGGAAGAAACAGGAAGTTTACAAACAGTTCCCCACACAAAATGGGGAAGTGATGGGGTTGGAGAGCTGTGTGTGTGTGTGGGTGCTCCTCTCCATGAGGAGTCCCAGAGGACAGCCAGGAGGGGGTAAGGGTGTGGTGGTAGAACAGAAATGGGCGCTATGCTCTGAACTCACCCATCACCATGCATCTTTGCACTTTTCTTCCACTTGCTCCCAGAAGATCTTTTGGGCACCTATTTACTCATTTGCACTTCTGTCTTAGCTCTGGCTGTGGCATAAGGGCCAAACTCTTGGTTTAAAGCATTAACTCTGCAGGCAAGAAGACACATTTTAACAGGATAAGCTTTCAGGCTGAAATTATATTGGGTCATCGGGAAAGTCATGACATATTTTTCTATGTTTTTCAATGCAAAAATGTGTCATGACTTTCCTGACAACAATAATAGGTATGCAGCTGCCCATCCCTTCATCTGATCATCTCCCTGATTTTTCCATCCTGTAAATATTTATTAAGTACCCACCATGTGCCTTGCCAGGCACTAAACTAGAGCCTGGGGATTCAATGGTGGGCAGGACACAATTCTACTTTCAAAGATTTTACAAGTCCAATGATAGAAACCCTCCTAAATGGGACACTTGACTGTCTAGGTTTCTGGAAGTGTTCGCTAAGCTGAAATTGGATAGTTAGCCAGTAAGGAGCCATGAGTGGAAAGGTCTCGGTGAGAGAGATGCTGGCCCTCAGGCCAGGCTGTCAGTATCACAGCTGCAGTTTTCATTTGCAAAACCTGAAGGATGGTCTATGCAGTCTCCTGGATCCAACATCACGATACACAAAAATAAGCCCTTCTCTCTTCTATCACAGCAGCACCATTGCCTCAGCCATTGTCCCACAGGGCTGCAGAACTGTCACCTTTGACTCTGAGCCTGAGGTGTCCATTACAGTGGTAGATGAGGGGTTGATTGTAAGGAAGAAAACTTTCTAAGCCCTTTCTGTCTGGTCTTGCCCTGGCTCCCACAGGACTTCACCATGACCCTATACCTGCGGCATTACTGGAAGGACGATCGGCTGGCCTTCCCCAGCACCAGCAACAAGAGCATGACCTTTGACGGCCGGCTGGTAAAGAAGATCTGGGTCCCTGACGTCTTCTTTGTTCACTCCAAAAGGTCATTCACCCACGACACCACCACTGACAACATCATGCTGCGGGTGTTCCCAGATGGGCACGTGCTGTACAGCATGAGGTAACTGTCCATGGGGTCATCGTTTCTTTGTCCAATGCCACCCTAATATGTGTCTTTAGTCTCTTCGGCCCTGAAGAGTTTGTCACTGAGGTTGAGTCTGTGGGCTACCTGGGATGGTGTGAACTATCTGATGATAGAACTCTCTAAGATGAAATGGCCGCCCTAGTAGCTGGTGACTTCCCTGTCATCAGGGTTCTTAAGCCTGGGTTAGGAGCTTGAGTAAATTGAGGGAGACAATGACCTTCTATGTACCTTCCACCCGAGAGCCTATAATGATAGTTTACTGGTAATAAATATTTAAAAAATATAACAATAGCTTCTGTTTATTGAGTGCTGCTGCAGATTGGCTTCTGGGCTAACTTGAGTGATTACATGTCTTATCCCTTATCTTCCTGGTCTATTTGTGCAGTTCACTAGAATTAGAAGCCCTGGGTAGGGGAAGGGTGATAAAGGGAGCATAACCTCACAGGCATCTGTCAGGGGAGTGGCTCGAGCGCTGAGAGCAATGCCCAGAGAAAGGTGCAGGAGGGCCATTAGTAGGCAACACCCTCAGTAGCCAGGATCTGGGCAGAGCATCAATCGCATCTCGTACAGAACACAAAACTCTAAAAGTTAAGCTTCTATAACTTAGATACCTGGGTTTCCAGACTTCTGCAGTAGACATGAGAGGGCAGCTGCTGTTGGTCGGGTGTGTGTTCTTCCTCACTCTGAGCAACAAGTCACTGCATGAGCCAACACGTGTGTTTGGGTTGTCTAGGATTACGGTCACTGCCATGTGCAACATGGACTTCAGCCACTTTCCCCTGGACTCCCAGACCTGTTCTTTGGAGCTAGAAAGCTGTAAGTATCAATATTCTTAATGACAGATCTTTGCCTTATTCCCTCTCTGATCTTTGTGTCATTTTAGTAACCTTGAGACAGAGTACAGCCCACCAGGGTTAAGACCTATTCACTCCTGGGCTGGTGTAGGATTTCCCTGTTGCCTCACCTTGCATCAGAAGCAAACGAGTCAAATTAACTTGTTTTCGTTTCCCCAAAGATGCATATACAGATGAAGATCTGATGCTGTATTGGAAGAATGGGGACGAATCCCTGAAAACAGATGAGAAGATCTCCCTGTCTCAGTTTCTGATTCAGAAATTTCACACCACTTCCAGACTGGCCTTCTACAGCAGCACTGGTAGCTACCTTTTGCCATGGTCTGATTCAGATGCAGAAGAAAACATTAGAATTCTTCTTCAGCCTTAATGTGATGAAAATACATCCTTCTTACTAAAATAATTCATAGTCCTCCAAAACATAAACAGAACTTAAAAGCAGAGAGTAAAAAAGTTGCTGCCCTCTGAAATCCCATGGTCAGAGGTCATCATTCCTAACAATTTAGTAAACACCTTTGCAGACATCTTGCTTTAATTAGGTAGTTTCACAAAAGTGGGGTCATATTTACATGCTATTCTATAATCTGATTCATTCAAATTAATGATATGGGCAGATATAGCTTTCTGAGACAATGTATGTATTACCTATATTTAGATCTATAGATTCATTTTTAATGCTAGTGTCACCTTTTTTTGGCCCCTGGGCCATGTTTGAAGTTTTTGGGTTTTTTTTAAAGATTTTATTGGGGAATTGGGGGAGGGGAGCAGACAAGTTGCAGTCCTTTTGTTCTTCAGTCTAGTTGTGGAGGACGTTGCTTCACTGGCCCAAGTTGGCACCATCATTGCGCTCTTCCTGGGTGAGGCAGATCAGTCACCAGCCATTGGATGGCCGCTCACAGCGGCTCACGGCAGCTCATGCCAGTTGCCAGCGCTCATGCTGGCTGCCAGCCCCTCACAGTAGCTCACAGATGCCATCACCGGCGACTCACGGCTGCCCAGCTCCAGGTTGATGTGTTCACCATCTTAGCTGTAGAGGGCGCAACATCACTGACCCTCATGTGGGATCTGAACCGTGGCCCTGCTGCTCAGAGCTGGTGCTCCCAAGCCAACCCTTAAGCAATGCACCACACGGCCAGCCCAGCATATTTGAAGTTTGAGAGGATCCATTTGTCAGCTCTTCTCTAATCTCACCATTAGCTCTTCGTATTAGTTTCCTAGGACTATCATAACAAAGTGCCATAAACTGGGTGTTTAAGAGAACAAATTTATTTGCTCTCAGTTCTGGAGCCTGGAAGTCTGAGGGACATGCTCCTTCTGAAAGGTCCAAGGAGGATTCCTTCTTTGCTTTTTACTGGCTCCTGGTGGTTGCCACATCTCTCCAACCACTGCCTCCATTGGCACATGGCATTCTCCCTGTGTCTCTGTGTCTTCATATGGTGTTGTGTCTGTGTATCTAGGTCCAAATTTCTCTCTTCTCTAAGGACACCAGTCATTGGATTATCAATGGCCCTCCGAATCCAATATGACCTCACCGTACTTGATTACATGTGCAAAGATCCTATTTGAAAATCAGGTCAGATTCACAGGTACTGAGAATTAGGACTTCAACATATCTTTCTGGGGGGCACAATTCAACCCACAACAGCTCTACGGTAGCTACAGGACCCTTGAGGACTTCTCACTTTATCACCCTTTGTCCCAGTGCAGAGATACCCAGGCCCTTCTGTGGGAAGCTTTTGTAGTACTGTCTACCCCTGCATGGTCACCATCTCCCCATGCATCTGCCGCCACCCACACTCCTCTGTCTACACCATCTAACACCAGCAAAGAGTGAGCCCAGCTAAGGTTGTGTTGGTGTCGGGACAGCCTAAGCCTGCTTCACTTGATGCCCACAGTGCTCACCCTCATCCCTGTCTTCTTTTTCATGCTGATATGTATTGCCACACAATTTTCTCCTCTATTCTTGGCAAGCTCAAATCAACTCTCTTTCTAAAACCATTTTTAAGGGTGTCTTATATAGCTTTTATTATGTGCCACTGTTTTGAGTCCTTTATATGAATTAACTAATTTCTACCCAATTACACCTCTGGTGTAGATGTTGTTATCCTCAGTTTACAGAAAACTGAGACTAGGAGGAACTGTCCATTGAAATTGCACAGCTCCTAAGTGGCCAGGCAATCTGCCTTGGTCACTGTGTATACTCCTCTTAGATGTTTTCTGTGTTGGAATAGCATGCTTGTTTTTTGTTTGTTTTGTCCCCCATTCAAGCCTTTCTGGAGTCCAGATTAAAATGCATCTTCTGCACCCATTATTTACTATGTATCGACAAGCAGGTTTATCATCCCACCCCACAGGGTCTGTGATCTTACCCAAGAATGTTCTGTTTGGAACATGGTGTGTACATTTTCAAAGCTCCTGGTCCCCTCCTTGTGTTTCCAAGGCAACTCTCCCTGGTTTCCTTAGACAGAAGGAAAGAAAGGATGATGAAATAGTCCTTCATGAAATAAATGCAGCTTTTAGCCCTTCAAGAAAGACCCTGTGCAAACCTAAGGAACAATGTGATTTGCTTCATGAATGCCAATTTAAGATGACGTTGGACAAAGGCTGCAGGATGAAGAAATGATGAGTCATTTGTGTCATATTTGAAGATCACTTTCTATTTATCCACTACACTAAAAGCTCCTGCCTCTTTCAAAAAACAACTCATGGGCCTACACAGTAACCACATATCAAGCTTATCTGACCCACCTTACTGTTCCAGCTTTTCCCTATTGACCTAACCGTTCCCTTCCCTGACTCACTACTACCTTTTCACTCTAGCCAAATGGCTTTCATCTTCTCAGCAGCATTTCTGCAGGCAGCCTGAGGTCCACTTGCATCCAAACCACCAGAGGCGTGTATTCAATAAGCAGATTTCTGGGCCCCATTGCAGCTACTGAGTCAAAATCTTAGGTAGTGGAATGCAGGAATCTGCATGTTTAACACGTGATTTTTATGCACATCAAACTTCAAAGGCCATTGATTTTAGGCAATGTGGTTCTCAAAGCATGGTGCTCAGACCAGCAGCATTGGTATCACCTGGGAATTCTGAAGATGGAGCCCAGCAATCTATGTTTTAACAAGTCCTCCAGGGATAGTGCACACATAGAATGCTGGGCCCTATCCCTCACAGTTCCTCCCTAGTAGGTCCCATGTGGGCCCTGAGAATTTGCATTTCTAACTAGTTCCCAGTGATGCCCTTGCTGTTGGTCCAGGAACACCACTTTGAGAATCACTGCTCTAAGTCAATGTTTCTCAACTCTGGCAGCACATTAGAATGGCTTGGGGAACCATTTTACTATTGTTGGCTAGTAATTTTTTTCTTGTGGTTAAAACAAACCTATATATACACACACACACACACACACACACACACATACATACATATCAGGGGTTGCCAAAAAAAGGTATACACATTTTGAAAGACATTAACACTTTGATCAGCATTGCTCAAGCAGTAGTTTGCCATAATCAGAAGTGTCTGTATGATGATGGTAACCATTTGAGCACCTCTTGTAATTGCAGAAGTCAAACGTGACTTGTATTCATCTTTTGTTATTGGTATATATTGAGCATTACAATTTTAATAGTTTTCCTTTCTTAAAATGTGTAAACATTTTTTTGGCACCATGTGTGTTCACCATTTTTAAGTGTTTAATTCATTGGCATTAAGTACATCCACACTCTTGTGCAACCTTCATCACTATCCATTTCCAGAACTTGTTCATCGTCACAAACAGAAACTCAGCACCCATTAAACAATATTCCCCACGTCTCCCTCCTTCAGCCCCTAGGAATCTCTATTCTATTTCTGTCTCTATGAATTTGACTATCCCAGGTACCTTATATAGGTGAAATCATATATTTGTCCTTTTGTGGCAGCCTATTTCACCTACCATAATGGTTTTAAGGTTTATCCGTGTTGACGCTTGTGTAAGAATTCCATTCCTTTTTAAGGCTGAATAATACTCTATTGTATGGATTGTATTTATCCATTCATCTGCCAATGGACATTGAGTTGTTTCCACCTTTTGGCTATTGCAAATAGTGCTGCTATGAACCTGGGGAATTTTAAAATCATACCTATGCCGAGGCCCCCACCCCAGAGCAATTAAGTCAGAATGTCTCTCTGGCTTAGCAGCAAAGCTTCCGGGGGTTCCTTGCACACAGCCAGGCTAAGAGTCAGCATCCTCAGCCTGTACCACTCACTCCTATCTCTGAGCCTCACCTCTTCCTGTCCACTCGTCCAGCTTACACTCATGTCCTCCAGGAGGTCTTTCTTAATTATTCCAGCCAATAGCCATTCAGGTCTCTCTTGTCCAAAACCTAAAGCACTCATTGCTTTCACAGATGTATATTTTAGCACTTAGATATACACTGTTCTATATCTTGAGCACTTTCATCCTGTGGCCAATCCTTGAGGGCAGAAACCAAGATCTAGATCTCTCTACCCCCTTCAGGCCCTAGCAATGTTCACAGTTGGAGGTCCTCAGTGGCCACTGCTGAATTGAAAAGATATTGTGTAAGAAGAGCCCTGGACTGGGCATTGGAGTCCCAAGCTCTGACCTGAGTTCATCCTGGCTGAGGCTGAGGTCTTAGATAAGCCTCTGGGGGTCTCCTCATGTCCCAAATAAGAAGGTTAGTTTAGGTGTGGGTTTCAGTTATTTACCTAACACCATTGCAAAGTTCGTCTTCATACCACCTATGCTGTCATCGACTTAGTTTTTTTTCTTTAAGTCAACTCCCCTCTTATACTGTATTTTGAAAGGGAATTTTACATCACTATACTCAATGGGAAACGGGTCTCATTTGCCATAAATAGAAGATGGCTTTAATAATAAATGTAATGAACACAAGCAAAAAAGTATCCACCTCTGTACCCCTTCAATCACCTTCTTGTACACCATTGTGTGTACCCCACACTTTGAGACACAGAGTGGGACCATCTCTGAGCTGTAATATTTTCTGGTAAGGCTGGGCTGAGGTGGAAGTGGGGTGAGGTGTGCACCCAGCTTCAGTCTATGTTATACATTCACACTGTCCTTGACGCTATCTTTGGTCCCAGTGGTTGGGTGATGACCTTGTGGATAATTTGAAACCTTACAATTTCAATTATTTTTACAACCATTAATCAGTGATTTTCAATGCCATAATGAAATAATAATATCTATATCCTCATTTTTTCCCCCTGAGGAATCAGCAAATGGTAAATAACTTGCACTAGACGAATGGAGTATCAGAACTAGAACTAGGGGGCCCGCCGAGTGGCTCAGTTGGTTAATAGTACGAGCTCTGAGCAACAGAGTTGCCAGTTTGATTCCCACATGGGCCAGTGAGCTGTGCCCGAGCTGAGTTGCTGCTGAGCTGCCAACAGGTGGCAGCATGGCTCAGCTAGTGAAAGCATGTGCTCCTAACAAGGTTGTCGGTTCGACTGCTACATGATATGGTGAGCTACGCCCACCTGCAACTAAGATTTAACATGGTACCTTGAGCTGAGTGGCCACGAGCTGCCAATGGACAGCCGGATGGCAACTGGACTTGGAGCTGAGCTAGCTGCGCCCTCCACAACTAAGATTGAAGGACAACAACTTGGCTATGCCCCTTCCCCAATTCCCCAACACTGTTCCCCTTCCCCAAATCCCCAATAAAATCTTCAAAAAAAAAAAAAGAGGTAGAACTGATGTCAGACTTCAGAATCACATGAACAGCCTATTTCTTCTTGTGATGAATGTGGCAATTGACTGAGCTGACCAATCCCACAATGAAGGGGACAGTGACAAGAGCCTAGCGCTGCTGGCTCCTGCCTCAGTGGTACTACCTTCAACAAAATAGAACCAGTCCAACTTCTTAAGCTCCTGAGCAGGGAGTCACTCAGGGAATGTGGCTGTGGTTTGCAAACACCAAACACAAAACAAACATCTAAACCTAAACCTCAATTTAGTTCTATCTTTCCCCAAAATGCTGTGAAGGGAAGTTAGCTAATATTGAATAAAACAGTGAATGCACTAGATACTGGTGAGATATTTATTTATAGGAGAGAGGGCTTAGATTTTGGAAAGGAAATGTATTATAATAAGCCAATTGGTCATTCATGGTTAATGTCCTGCTGAAGATGAAATCAATGTCAGGAAAAGAAGGGCTTCTGGGAAAGAGTTTTTGTTTTGTTTTGCCTCTCAGACTGAACCTCACTGGCTTCTTCCTGTGCCCCCCAGGCTGGTACAACCGTCTGTATATTAACTTCACGTTGCGTCGCCACATCTTCTTCTTCTTGCTCCAAACCTATTTCCCTGCCACCCTGATGGTCATGCTGTCCTGGGTGTCCTTCTGGATCGATCGCAGAGCTGTGCCTGCCAGAGTTTCACTGGGTAAAACTGTTTGATAAGGTGTGGTAGGGTGGCTGGTTTTTCAACTGGTGACTATGTAAAGAGAAAGTAAAACCATTGTTCAGAGTTCTTAACTGATGGGGTGTAACAGACAAAAGGAGCAAACTTTCCTCCTGCTTCTTGTCCTCGCCATTCCCATGCTGCCCTCAGTTTCCTAGGCTACATTATGAAAACCACAGGGAGCTAGAACAACATCAGTACTGCGTGAATCATGTCAGAAAGATAGAGCTTATTTGGCATATAGAATTCTACCACCAGCAGTATTAGGGCTCAGTACTTCAATAAATAAGACAATTCTACAAATGCCAAAAATTTATTCTGTAAATACCAAAACTTTCTTTGTTGGCCCTGTTTAGGCAGAGTGTGGAGGCAGGGACCATGTTACACGATTTCTGGGAAGGAGAGGGCTGTACTCCCTGAAATTGTGGTTTTAGTTCTTCGCAGACTCTGAATTCCAGAGCAAATGTTTACAACTCATCATGTGGACAAAATCAGGCTGGGCCCTGAGAAATGTGAGGGTTTGATCAGCAAGGCACGGTGAAGAAGAAGCTAGCATGCAAGGCTTCCAGGAATTTCCACAGTCTTCATAAATGTGCCTTAGATGAGGGAGCATGTGTTCATTCCTTGAGGTTTGAGAAGGTTCCTTTAGAGATGTCTTTTAGTCACCGTTTTAAAGTCCACATCTGAACAGGTTCTTTCTGAAGCACTGCAGATCTTGTCAGTCACGTCACAGAAACCCAGTGTCCCAAGGCACTTAAAGTGAAAGCAGACAAATAGCAAGTTGGCCAGGAAAACAAACAGCCTGGCTACTTCTTCACACACCTCTACGGGGTGGAAATATGCCTGGGGAATTTCTCATTGGAGTTAAGAGATAGAGAATGTAAAATGGTGACTTAGTGCAATGTGTGTGGGGGGCAGTTCTGTACCCTTGTCAGCGGCTAAACTAAAGCTGGATGTTTCAGGTATCACCACGGTGCTGACCATGTCCACCATCATCACGGGCGTGAACGCCGCCATGCCCCGCGTCTCCTACATCAAGGCCGTGGACATCTACCTCTGGGTCAGCTTTGTGTTTGTGTTCCTCTCGGTGCTGGAGTACGCGGCTGTCAACTACCTGACCACCGTGCAGGAGCGGAAGGAACGGAAGCTGCGGGAAAAGGTGAGTTTAGTTTATTCCCTTGTCTGAGCTTATACTAACTGGTGGGGTGAGAATTGGGACAGAGACTGTTGCATGTAGAAAAGGGAGATGTTTACATAAAAGGAGAAGGGCCCATTTTAGAACAGGTTCTTACTTCTACCACAAAGGATCCCAGAAAGCAGAAAGTTTTTGGACAAAGACTAGGAGTAGGAAGACTGTGCAGTTGTTTTTGTTTTTTTTAAATTTTTTTATTGTTAGTTTCAGGTGTACAGAAAAATGCAATAGTTATCCTTTTCACCCTCACAAAGTAACAACCCCCCCTCTCCCCACCTATTGCCCTCCCCGATATCATGCTTATCTATTACAATTCCATTGACTCCATTCCTACTCTCTACTCCATGTCCCGTGAAGACTGTGCAGTTTTGTTGGTGCAGTTGAATCATTTAAAAATACATCACAGGGGGCTGGCCGAGTGGCGTGTTGGTTAAGAGCTGGCTTGGGACACCAGAGGGCCCCATTTCAGATCCCACATATGAGGGCCAGTGACGCTGCCCTCTGCAGCTGAGATGCTGAGCGACAGCTCGACCTGGAGCTGGGTTGCTGTGGGTGGCCGGTGACGGCATAGGCTGCAGCCTCTGCTGCAGTGGGTTGCCAGGGGCTAGCGTGTGTAGCAAGCAGTCAACATGAGTGGCCCTCAAGCTGCTGTGAGCGGCTGTCCAGAGGCCAGCGACTGATCTGCCTCGCCCGGGAAGAGCGCAATGATGGTGCCAACTTGAGCCAATGAAGCAACGTCCTCCACAACTAGACTGAAGAACAAAAAGACAGCAACTTGTCTGTTCCCCTTCCCTCAATTCCCCAGCTCTGTTCCCATCCCCCAATTCCCCAATAAAAATCTTTAAAAAAAATACCAAACATCACAGGCATGATGGCCCTGTGTAACCTTACATTAACTTTATAATAAGGACACTCTCCTACCTAATCAGTTTTTGATTCATGCACAAAGAGGTAGAGTCCCATAACTGAAATCAGAATGGGGGTTTAAGTCCTGACTCTGACACCAGCTGTGATCTCAGGAGAATTGTATAGCCTCTTTGGGTCTTAGTTTTTGCCTCTACAATTGAGGGCATTTGAAGTACACCGTGGTTCTAAACGCTGGCCACATAGTAGAATCACCAAGGGGCTTTAAACTAATCTAGAGTAGAGCATGGGTATGTCCATTTTAAAGAGCTTCCCAGGTGATTCTAATATGCAGCCAGGGTAAAGAATCGGTGGGCTAAGTGACTTTTGGGGATCCTTCCAGTTCTGCCTTTCTGTGATTCTGAGTAGCCGTGGAGCTTTGCTCTTCACCCAGGCCACCTCTTCTGCTCCTCTCACGAGGCCCAAACATGCTTGACATGTGTTTGCTGCCCACAGCTCCCGTGCATGTGTGGAATGCTTCACTCAAGAACCATGATGTTGGATGGAAGCTACAGTGAGTCTGACACCAACAGCCTTGCCGGGTACCCCAGAAGCCATATTCTGACAGAAGAAGGACAAGACAAAACAGTGGCCCACTTGGCCCTGAGCAATGAATCTAACTCCTCCAGGAAGAAAGGGCTTCTGAAGGGCCAGATGGGGCTTCGCATCTTCCAGAACACCCACGCCATTGACAAATACTCCAGGCTGATATTCCCTGCCTCCTATATATTTTTCAACCTGATTTACTGGTCAGTGTTTTCCTAGGGGCTCCGAGGCTGTGCCTGGGAAAGGGCCTAGACATCTATGGGGTCTGGCGAGCGTCTGCACATAGACCTGCTGACCGTGCTCCCCTCACCAAACAGAGCCTGGACCCCTAAGAGCAGTGCCCCTTCCTGGAGGAACCCAGGAGCCCTCCAGCTTCCCTTCCCCCAACCTCATGGGTTTGCCCCTCATTCATTCTGTGCTGTGTCCCACTTCATGCTTCTCTGGGGCTGTCTTCTTCTGTTCTTGTGTCTGAACAGGTTTGCAAGATTCCAACCCCCCTCACCCCCCTGCTTAAAAAAAGATTCAAATACGTCCCAGATGTTCTGAAACTCTTAAGAAACCTAGGATTCAGTTGTGAAAGGGAAAGGAAAATGAAGGGGCATTCTGGATAGAAGACAGGAAATTGGGATTTAAAATAAGAATAAGCATCTGCAAACCCATACAACTGGATTAAGTGCCTATCTAAGAAGGAAAAAAACTCAGATCCCAGACAGGAAATGATTTGACCTGTGTGAGTCTGGCAACTTGCATGATTTTGCAATATTAGAGGACATTATTCACTCACGCATCTATTCCACCATTTATTAAATATTGAGTATCTACCCTGTGCCAAGTGCTATGGAAATAAACAAATAGAAGTCTGTTTTCTCAGAGAACTCCTCTAAGTCTGTGCCCATTCTACATGTGGCAGAAGTACTTCTGTTCTTTTCCTGCCCTCAACCCCCATTCACCCCACAGGCCAGTTTATTTGCTGATTCTTTTACTCCTAGGTCTGTCTAGAAAAGCATTTCCTGTCTCCTATGAGGCCCTCATGAAGTCAACCCAGTGCTTTTCTCCTGTATTCTCCATGCAGGACAAGCCTAGTGCTGGGGAAAGGGACAGGGACTGGAGAATTAGTTAGCGACAGCAGAACTTGGTCTGGGGCAGAAGGAGGCATGGCTCTGCTGTGGAAACTGGTTTCACATGCTGTCCTAACTCCCTCTCTGGGCTTCTTCCCAGCAGACAGGTGTCCTCAACCATTCCTGTGTCCAAGCCCTGGCCCCACCCCGGGGGACCTACTTATGCCAACCAGAAGTGCCCTGCACCCTTGAGTGATTTCTCTCTTACTTCCACAAGCTAGTGACTCTTTACTCTAATGCAGCTAAGCTCAGATTAGGAAAGCAATCCGATTTGTTGAATCTGCAGTAAGTTGTGAGTGACCGTTTCCCTCAACCCTGTTTTAGGTGTTTGCTAGTTAACATCAGAGACTCTCTGATTGATAGAATTTCTGGAGGTACAGAGGACATTATTTTGAGAAGGGGCCTTTTCTTTACATCACAGCGCTTTGAATTAGAAGGCTGTTCTGGGGAAGTAAGGAGGAAATGCCCACCTCAGATTATTTGCTTCCTGAGGAAGTTGTTCTGCCCATTTCCCCACTGCCCCTGCTACCGTCCTGTTCAAGGTCTGGGTGTCTGGTTCTTTGGACAAGAGTAGGTAAATGGTAACAGCAAAAGAGAGACCATAACCCTGCCTTAAATCAAGTAATCGCTGGCCTGTGGAGTTTACTCCACAGCTCATGGCTCCCAGGGAGCACACATGGATACCAGAGCCTCCAGAAGTTTCAAGTCAGGGGCCGCAGCTACCTGATCCTTTTTCAGTTACTCCCTCCCTGTGACTGACTGCACAGTTGCTCTCTGCACCCCAGCTTCTCTGCTCCTTCCCCTTGGTCAGGCCCCCACCCATTCCCTCTGTTCCCACATTCATTCCTTATGTGACCATCATCCCAGACACTTCCTTCACTACTCAATTGCCCATGTTGAGGGCCAGACTTATCGTCTCTGGTCACCAGCCCTGATCTGCACTGTGGCCTCCAGCCTATTGGTCCAGAGGCTATGTGATCAGGGCCAGGATTCAAGGAGCTGAACTCTCAGTGGGACCAGCTCTGGGTAACAATATGACATAGATTACCTTGGGCAACTGCAAGTTCAAGAGGTCCCCAAGACCACTCTCAGGTTTAATAGTTCACTAGAAGTTTGGGGATTTGGAGAAAAAGAAACGTACATGCCACATGTACATATATTGGGTTGTTGGAAAAGTCATGATGTATTTTTTCTATGTTTTTTGTTTCAAAAATGCATCATGACTTTTCCGACAACCCAATAGAAAAGGACATGCTAGATTTGTGCTGTTCAATATAGTAGCCACTAACCATGTATCTATTTAAATTTAAATTAAAGTTAAATAAAACAAAATTCAGTTCCTCAGTTTTCCTTTCTTAAAATGTGTATACATTTGTTGGACACCCTCTGGACATATAGGTTGGAAGAGAAGGACTGATCAGAGAAAACAGAAGGAGAACTAGAAGACTGCTGTGTTATAGAAACTGGGAGAAGGTAGACTCTCAAGTGGAGAAGGGTGGGGTGCAGGCAAATAATGAGCATTCAAATTGAGAAGGGTAAAGACTGTGAACAGATGTGGCAAGATGGAGGCTAGAGGACAGGTGGGATCAAGGACAGGTAGATGGTTTTTCTTGGTAAAGAAGAGGAACCCTTCCCTCAACTACAAGTGATATTTAGGTAGAGAAAAGGAAAATGTTCAGAGAATGATTGCTATTTATTATGGAAAGACTATTTTAGACTCTTGGGGGTTTTTTTGTTTTTGTTTTTGTTTTTTGAGGATTTAAAAATAACACTGTGGCATACTTGGCTTGAAATCGGGTTGTGGTCTCAACGGTTGTTTCCCCAAACTATTATATTGGAATTTGGGGGACTGGTCCAAGAACAGTATGACTCTGTCACCAGGCCTATGGATAAGAGCTTGGGAAGCAACAGTTTTAGGACTTGTGCTATCCTTTGTTCCCACACATATGGGGTGGGCACTGCCAGGAGACAGTGTAGCCACTGCCTCAGCCATCACAGAAGATAGGAGAACAGACATTAAAGCAACTGCATTGTGCAAAGGGCCAAGTATTGAGTGCGTTCTCTGTGCTTGCACCGTGGCGAGAGCGGGATGTGTGGCTCCTAATTTGGTTCTCATGCAAACCCTGTTAAGGTAGGAAGGATTTACCCTACTACATACCCACTGAAGTGTGCCGCCTTCCATAGCTGTATTCAATACATCTAGGTAGGCAGAAGTTGCATGAAACAATTCATTTCTCATAATATTTTCAGGGAAAAAGCAATTTACTCCCTTATTTAAATGAACTGAGAAAGGTTTGGAAAGAGTGGAAAGAAAACGCAAACAGGTCTGGATTGTGCTGAACATGTCAGAATGGTGGGAACTTGGAGTTAGACTAGGACATACTCCTTGAGGCTGGAAGCTGGCCTGTGGATTGTCCAGCTATTCAGGGTGGCCAGGGTGAAGTATTATGGGTTTCCACCACCTGTGCTATTGTAGGGGGGTGGGGAAAGTTCTCCTTGGCCCTCTTAGGGTCACTGGCTGGGGCTGGAAATTAAACTGAAAGGGACAGATTAACAGGAGAAAAATACAAATTTATCTAATATAAGTTTTACTTGACACGAGAGCCTTCATAAAGAAATAAAGACCCAAAGAAACAATTAATCCTGAGTGTTTTTATGCTCGATTTAATGAAAAGTGGTGAGTTGTGGAAAGATATGCTAGGACAAATGGCATGAGTAAGTGTAGAGTAAGCTGGGGGCGCTTAGCAGGGCCTGTCTGTTCAGGTTCCTCTCTGAGTCCCTCATCTTCGGACAGATGTGTATAAGGATGTTTCTTTCCCCCAAGTACAGGGAAGGCACTTCTCAGATGAGGGTGACAACCTGCTTCAGGAGGAGGTCCAAAAGTCCTTTTTGAACATGCCATTCCTCAAATTCCTTCATCTTGAAATACTCAATAGGCCAACATGCCATATTTGGGGGCTATTTGTCCTGAATCCCATCACTGTGTAGATGGTATATTCATTTAATGAATGCAAAGCAGCATTCATTGACCTACTACCACTGCTAGAGACTTCTTCCCTTTTTCATTTCATTGCAAAAGAACAGACGGCTGCAGCTGGGGAGATTAACACTGCATTGCAATCAGCTGACACCCCTAACCCCACCGCCCCCACAATCACCAGGAAATATGACGTGAGTTAAAATGGTACCCACAAGGAAGGCTGTGTGCCCAACATGTGTCTGAGAGCTAGTGTGCTGGCCTGTTCGCACTGAGAGCTAAATCTAATGCAGAAAGGGACCCGTGTCCCAGCCTGTCCAACTTCCAGAGTCATTCGGTGAGTGTCCTCCCCAGTAGAATAAAAACATCCCCCATTAGCAGATTGGATAAAACACTGAATCCTCACCCTCAGACCTTCAGATGTTATTATGAAATGACATTTGGGTCAACCATTGAGAACATTAGGTTGGGGATTTATTTTTAAAAAACTGAAAAATCAACCTTGGCTGTAGTAAACTGTTATCTAAAATGGTCAGTTTTACGGTGGGGAATGCTCTTCTCTACCTTGTCCATTTAGCCCAAGGCATCTTAAATTGTAATGTGTGTATGAACAACATAGGGATTTTGTTGAAATGCACATTCTGATTCAGTAGGTTTGGGAGGGGAGCCGGGATTACTCTTTCCTAACAAGCACCCAGGAGATGTCTGTTGCTGGTCTGCAGACCATGCTTCAAGCAGTGAGGCCCTAGAGACCCCTGCTCATCATTTAAAATTGAGCTCAAATGTCAACTCCCCTCTGTGACTTCTGACATCCTCTTCCTCCCTGCCCACAGGAGAATTTGTTATTATTTCACCTGTGTTCCCAAAGCATTTTATGCCTTTGTGCACTGAGGCATTTTTAAAAAAAATTTTTTATGATGTGATTATTCTTCTTAATCTGGGCTCCCCAGTCCTGGCTGTGTGTTAGTCACCTAGGGAGCTTTTGAAAAAATCTCAGTGCCTGAGTTTCTGATTTTATAGCAGTCCCACTCTTTGTTTTTGTTTTCGTTTTAAATAAGACTACCTCATTTTTTGAAGGCTGGTACTAAAGTCTGAAATAATTTCTCTGGGAGAGTATTGTCTGTACTTGGTTTGCATGATTTACAAAATGTGTTCCCCGGGGACCCAAGAGGTTCTCTGAGGGATGGTGCTCCAGGCTCCACTCTGGCAGTGGATGGTGGGAAAACAGGAATGAGCAGAGTGTGTGAGGACAAAGCAATGGACCCTGCCAAAGTGAGCAGTGAGGAAGAGAATTCCACCCTTCCAATTTTCTCAACAATTTGTTCATCCTGATCTTGGGCAAACCAATCATCAAACAAGGACTACTTAGCCTACTTTGAGAAGGGGCTTTTACAGGAACCCAGTCCTTTAATCCTTCCAAGAACCCAGTGAAGTAGGGTTTATAGAGGAGATAAGAGGTAAAGAGGGCAAATTATAGGGCCGGGACTGGAACTAGGACTTCTGGCTCCAAGTTCTTTTCGCTTTTCACAGTTCCCTGCAAGAAAGCTGTGGGATGCGAGACGCAAAGGGCCTAAGTGAAGGTTTAGTCTTCTATCAACACTCCTCAGGTCAATCCAGAAGGCACCTGGCTTCCTGGTGGCATGGGTGATGGAGGTGGCTGGTGGGAGGGACAGTTGGCACTGACCACCCACGGAGCTTTGGGTTTCTGCTCTGACGTTGGATTTGCCCAAACTGCTTAGAGAATGCCTCTGGCCCCAGGTTCCAGTCCTCTGGTTGACAATCTATTCTGGCCTCAGCCTTCACCCACTTCTTTTCTACCCTGTGTTAAAGAAAATTCAACGGAGTAAAACTGAAGATCTAACTGGCTTTACTAAGCAATTCATGAATCAGGCAGTATCCCATCTAGCAACTAGAAGGGCACTCTGATTTTGTACAAAATAGAAGGTTTTTATAGGCAGACAGAGGGTAGGACTAAGAAGTTAAAAGAGTAGATTATTTCAGGTAATAATACCTTCCCATAGGGAATGACAGGGGTTCTTATTTATATTAGGCAGATTACCTAACTAGTGTTGATCAGGAAACTCCAGATTGATTGGTTTAAAATTCCACTCCTGGGAGAGGCTGAAACTGCAATTATGTTAGTAATTAAATCTTGATTTGATGGCCTGGCCTAGCAAAAGTGACTCCATTTTGGCCTGTTGTTTCTCTTTTTAACACCCGCCACCTTTCCTTTTCCCTAAGAGAGCATCACCTCTCTATGTCTGGAAGAAAGCCGGCAGCTGCTGGCACTGTATCTTCAGCTCTCCCCCAAAGCCCACCCTGCTGTGGCATTGGAAAGGCTGCAGAGTGGAGCATGGCCACAAACCACTCCTCCTGAGAGCAGGAAGAGTGCATGTAGGTGAAAGCTGCCACAGAGGATGTAAGCACAGATGTAATAAGGCCTAGAATGTAAGGGTCCACAAGGCAGGAGTTCTATTTTTTTTTTTTTTAGCTGAGCCATCCTGCCACCTGTTGGCAGCTCAGTGGCAGCTCAGCTCGGGCTGGGCATCAAACTGCTGTTGCTCAGAGCTCGCACTCTTGAGCGAACGCTTAACCAACTGAGCCACTCGGCCGGCCCTGTTTATTTTCTTAATTGCTGTATCTCAGGGTATGTAACAGTGCTTGGCACGTGGTAGAGGTTCAGTAAATATTTATGGAAGGAATGAATGAACAATTAGTCTCTATCAGTACCTTCTATATGCTAGACATGGTGCGAGGTGTTTACTTACACCATGTCATTTCCTGTTAGCTACTATGATATTTTATTCATGTTCAGGGTGGAGACAGGAGCCTGGAGATTAACAATGTGTATCCTTAGCTGTGTGACCTTGAGTAATTCATTTAATCTCTCTGAGTTTTAGTTTCTCTATCTGAAGGAAAAAAAAAAAAGGTAATTCTGGCTTCTATAGGTGGATTCGAGGAGTAAGTGAGTGAATGTGTCTAAAGTACTCAGCCCAGTGCCTGGCCCAGAGAAAATACAAAGTGATGAAGGAGAGGAAAAGGAGGAGGAGTGAGGAGGAGGAATAAAGAAGGGAAGGGAAAGGGGAGGGAGGAAGAGGGGGAAAGAGGGTTGTCAACTTTTAACTTTGCCAAAAGAAAACATTTAAAATTGCCTCACTGGCTGGCCAAGTGGCGCGTTGGTTAAGAACTGGCTTGGGATG